AGAAAAATTGAAATGGCATCATATGACCCTTTTAAGACCATCTCAAACCAACAAACACCATCTTAAACCAGCTAAGACCAACTCAAACCAACCTGTTAAGACTATAAAACCACCTAAAGTCATTGTTGTTGTTTTTTCCAGCAGGGAGCAGTACTGTTTATCCAAATTTATATTGAACATTTCAAAGCCAGATTATTGTTTAATTTGCAATGGATTTCCTGGCTCACTAAACAACTGCAGGAAATGACTCCTGAATGCATGAGAGATGAAAATAAGAGGGAATACAAGAGCGAAAGACACTGTAGCAAACACTGATTAAAATCGCCACGCTCTGCCCTTTTAATACGGTTATATGAAAACAGCTAGCAAGCTTTGAAAAAGCCTTTTCACAAAACTTTCAAAAAACGTTTTGCACCAAGACCATATTTTAACACCAGTGTCGAATTTGAGACAAAGCAGCAAGCGAACAACACCAGTAAGCTACCAGCTACGACTCAAAATAGTGCTCTGACATCACTGAGGTCCTTTAAGCAACAAACTGATAAGTTAAGCCGTGCCTAGACATTGCCTTATAAGCCAATGGACTTTTTCCTCAAACAATGTTTGGCATATTGTTAAGAGTGTTTGAAGAGGAACATTGTGAGGGGCTACATACTATTGGCATTACATAGAAAAAGATTTGACAAAACGTTACGAGTTGTATTGTCTGAGGAGAGTTTTTCATTATTGTTTCAGACCATATTGAAGCCCTGGAGCACAATTTGACTCTGAAGGCTCAGGAGTTGGCATCTTGTGAGGCTCTACACCTTGCTTCTAAACAGCTCCAAACTGCCGCAGAGAAACAGAAACAGGCCTGCGAGACCACCAAGCAATATTTACAGAAGCAACTGTAAGTCTTTCAGCATCTCTTCCACCACTTCCAACTCTATTTCCAACTCTAGTTCTTGTTTTATTCAAGCATTCGTCTAATGCCTAAATTAGTTTATAAAGCATTGCAATGTGAATATATCCTGCAAAACTGTACATTGCATTATGTTTATGGTTGCTGATGAATTTAAATATCACATTTTGTTGCTGAAATGATATGAGATTCCTGTCACTTCACCACAGCACAAAGTGCAAAGATGTGGACCAGCATAAACATGAATATCATGTTGAACTCGATGACAGCGGAGCCCAAGGGATCACCACGAGTAGTGTTACACTGGCCATGATCGTTTGCCTTAGTCTGCTTTTGGTACCATGTAAGTGCATTTTGTGTTTAAGTGAATCATATTTAGAGTATTCAAGCTGATTACAGTCTCTGTTGTGTCGGTGTTGATAATGAATCAGTATCCTGTGTGCTAATGAGACTCTGGTTTATTCTCAGAGACGAGAGGAAGGCTGGATGATGGAGTATTTGGGTACATGTTTCGGTGCAACACTGTTCTGAGGACACCGCTCAGGTGCACTTATAACCTTGGACTTAAAGCACATTTAAATCTTCATTTGGAAGTGCTGATGCCAAATTTATGATCACATGTAGTTAATGAAGGCATTTTTGGAGGCACAGTTGGGAGCAATGGAGAATTTTTCACCTTATTCAACAAACATATGCTGTACTTCATTGGTTGTAATTTTTTTGTTTGTTTTTATTTGGGAAAAATATATGGATTTTAGGGTCTAGATGCATCTGAATTGTATTTATTTTTGTTTGGAGTAACCAGGCTAATATGCCAATGATATATTAATGTTAAGAGCTATTCAGAGATTTGATCGCACTGTTTTACCACTGTCTCTTCTTTTTTTTCTTTTTTTAAAAGAAATTCATGAAATCCTTTTGAAAGCTATTTTTGAATAAAGTTCAAATGTTGACTCTCTAATTTTGACTTGATAAAAGACAGCCTTAATGTGTGTAACCTTTCCATCACTACTGTGTCAGCCTTTTTAACAATAATATGTTGAAAGAGTTCCCAGAACGATACTAAGAGAAAGGAAACAAGTAAGACACACTCACACACACACGCACGCACACACACTCACACACTCACGCACGCACGCACACACACCAATAAAAGGTATATACTATGATTTACATTTAAATTCAACCATAAAATGACGGTAACTTATCACTCAAATGTGATTAAAATGAGAAATTAAACAACTTGACCTTTTTTCACGAAAGATACATGTTTTTAAGCATATCCTGTATTTATTTATTAATTTAGTATGATACTGAAATAAAGTAATAGCCTATTTGACTGGTCATGTGATCTCAACATGTCGGCCACCGTGAGGGGGTGACCCACTCCCATGTAAATTATAACTATGACTACTGTGCTTCAGTCTTCTCCTATTACAGTTTTTCTGAATGGCTAAAACACATTTCTTGTGGGGACATTCCATAGGCATAATGGTTTTTATACTGTACAGACCATATATTCTATTGCCCTACACCAACCCTACCCCTAAACCTACCCCTCACAGGAAACTTTGTGCTATTTCAGATGTTCAATACACTCCATTCTGTGTGATTTATAAGCGTTTTGAAAAGTGGGGACATGGGGTAATGTCCTGAAAAGTCACCTTCTCCTTGTAATGCCTATGTCATACCTTTGTCATTATACAAATTTATGTCCTCATTTGTCACAAAAACGCACACACACACACACACACACACACACACACACACACACACACAAACAAACAAAATAAATCACACCTAAGTTTGGTGAAAATATATATACAGTTTTTCTGAATTGCTAAAACACTAAACCCCAATCTCTGAACCAAATTCTCACTAGCTTAAACCAATCTGCCGAATAAAGCACTCCTTCTGTTAAACCTAAGACACATCCAGGGCAGTTAGGCTCTATTTGCAAATCTCATGCACTCTTTTTGCAAAACTTTAAACACATTCTCATTCACTTTAACACTTATGTGATGCATTTGAGCTCCAAAATGCTAAACACAAGCGGCAAAAGTTAAACACAACTAAAGCACAGTTGTCATCGTTTACACACAACGATTCAAAATTGTTCACACTTGTTTCTAATGATGTGATCAAACCAACTGTACAAAATATGAGCCAGCTCAGAGTGCACAAGTGGCACAGGTGACTGAATGACGATACGAACAATAGATGGAAACAATCTGAGAAGAAGAGGAGGAAGAGTACATGAAAGAAGTGGAGGATGAGGAGAGAAAGAGTAAGGCTCAGAGAGTGTTATCAAGGCTGGATCTGTCAGACCAGAGGGTTTTTCTCTTTGTCTAGCAAAAAAGACAACATTACTTGTGATGTGTGGACAAAGTCCTCAGGCTGGACTCAGACATGATGCTGAGACAGAATTAATCTCTCATTGACCCTGATTTTACAATTTCACAACTTACAGTGTTTGAGTGTACTGTAACATGCTATTCATTTAGTGTTTTATTTGACCTTTTTGGCCTTTGCAGTTGGACTGCAGTATTTTTGCAGTATCCAAGTGCTGAATATATACAAACATTCAGTACTATTCAGTATTCAGCACAATACTATTCTTGCAGTACATACAGTAGGCCTATACAATATATTCACCTTAATCAGTTGCAATTACTGCACTCTAAAAAATGCTGGGTTAAATACAACCCAGTGCTGGGTAAAATAGGGACAAACCCAGCAATTGGGCTGTTTTGACCCAGCGGTTTAATTAAATGTTTAATCCAACCTTCTGGGTAGTAACCCAACCGCTGGTTCAAAACAACCAATTGCTGGGTTTGTCCCTATTTTACCCAGCACTGGGTTGTATTTAACCCAGCATTTTTTAGAGTGTGTACTTTTTTACAGAATTGCAAAATTGTTTACACTGTAAAAAAAATTGTGTATTTTATTTTATTTATATATTTAAAATAATTATTTTATTTTACAAAATACTTTTGGCAGCTGTGGTTGCCAGAATAATTTTGTAAAAAATACAGAAAAACTGTAAACACATTTACGGCCAAAAAAAACTAATTTTACAGTATACAACTGTAATTTACAAACAAGAAGATTTGAATGTAAACCAGTAAATTCAACAATGCACACTGCTATTAAAATCTGTTTTGTACCTTTAACATACTGACAACCACCATAATAATGCAGGTGGTAAAAGAGAAAGCCACATGAAGAATCAAAGCTCATCACAAGTAGCTTCGCCACAAGCAGAAGTATATACTAATATATAGAAGGTGCACATTCATGCAAACACAAAACACCATCATGGTAACACACATGATACTTAAATAATGCATTCAACTTTCATTAAACAACAGAAGATGTAACATAAAGCCCAAATATACATAACTAATAACAAAAACTATTAAAAAACATGAATATTTAAACAAAAGAGTGTCATGCAGGGAATTCTGGGAATATCAGTTTACAGTTTTTGACTGTAAATTATACAGTTATTTTTACTTCTAAAAACTGTAAAATGAACAGAATTTTACTGTACAATTACATGAAATGTCTGGTTAGATATTTTACAGTTTCCCCCTGTATATAGTACGGGAACTTACTGTTAACCTATTAACAGTTTTTTTCCGTAGCGTTTTTACAAAATTTTACAGTTAAAATTACACTTATTTTTTACAGTGTACTCAATACAATATAGCCTACTTTTTTTCTGTAATGTTCTGGATGCTGTGTTCTCCATAGTGTCTAATGAATGCTCTGTAGTGTTTATTTTATTGACTTGTGTGTGTGTGTGTGTGATCTGAGAGCACAGTTTGATTTTGAGTGCAAGTGAAATGGTTTTGCAGTGATTGTTTGATTTTGAGATGAGGTTTCGTGAATTTAGTTTGAGTATCTGTGTTTAAGGTTTTGAGAAAATGAGTGATGGTTTCAAGAAATGTGTTTTAGCAATTCAGAAAAACTGTAACATACACAAAAGACGAAACAAACACGTTCGACAGCGTAAAACAGCAATTCCCAGAGTCCCTTTCTTCATCGGAAATGACGTTGCACAGACCCGCCCCTCGTCGCCTTCCAAAATAATCGCGCTTTGTGAATCCAACATGTCGGCGCCCGTGGAGGTAGTTCTGTGTGCAGATTCAGCGGGTCAGCTGTTTAACTGCGCGGTTTTCGACCCTCATTCCGGGTCAGAGTTCTTGTCTTATCGCGGGGGCAACACCTCTTCCCGGTCTTTAACAGTCCTGAACGGAGAATACATATTAGGAGCTCAACTCGGCAAGAACTTCATCAACGTGTGGGAGATCCAAAGAAAGGTGTGTAGAGCTGCTGTATCTAACCTTAGTTCATACTGAAAATAAACATCACTGATGTTACACTCAAGAAATAAGTAATAAATAATAGAATTGTTCAGAAAAAGTGTTCTTCAGTTTAATTAAAAGATGAGTGTTAATGGACAGTGGACATGTCAAGATATGAGAGCGGAAACTTTAAAAATAATTTTTGTATACTTTTTAAAATGTCACATCGTAGTAGTAGTATTTAAATTAAAGCAAAGAAGCTCGAAACTGAAAAAAAAGTTATCTAAACTATAATATTTGTTACATACTAAAATACAAATATCAGCGGAGAAATATTGCAGTCGTCACTGGAAATATAAAGTCCAGATTTTCATATTTTAATAAGCATTATGCTGTAGGCCATTCCAGGATGGCTACTTTTTTGTGTTTATGTTTTTTGTTCAATTTTTTTGTTGTTGTTTCTTGAAACATTGATTTAAAGTGTCAGTTATTGCATTATTATTTCAGTCAAACCTATAAAACCCATTTGTTACCCCAAACTACATATAAAAGCTTTATCAGTGACATAAAAGTAACCAATGCAGCTACTTAATCATTTACTACGTGTTAACGTCGCCTTTAAATAATGTGATGCTCTGCCCTCTATGACGCTGCTCCCATTAAGCGCTGTTGGAAGTGAATGAATTGATTCAGCATTTTGACACCTCCGTAAGGATGCATTTAACTCGACAAAGAGGTCTAATAAAGGATGTATTGATCTCATGAATTAGCGAATTCTACTGTACAAATATTTTTTAATTGGATGTTAAAGTTTATATGGGAATATTACATGACACGCTGATCCTTTAACAAGCCTAGCTCGCCTATGCCTAGAAAGGCCCTGCTCAAATGTAACTAAAATATTACTCTGTTTTCCTTCAGTATTTAAAATTCAAATCTAAGTACGTTTAATGGCTGTCACTGCTTGTGAGTTCCAGATGGACCCTGTTGTGAGAGCACCTGAATAACCTTTTAATTCTGCACATGACCACCTTTCAGGACCAGCTGCAGCAGAAGATTGTGTGTCCTGGGATCGTTACGTGTCTCTGTGCGTCTCCTGATGGTCTCTGTGTACTGGCAGGCATTGCTGAAGCTATATACCTGTGGGAGGTAAGTGAGGAGATGGGTTTTGGGCATCAAGAAATATTGCACTGTTTTTCTGTGTTTTGACATAATTCTCATTCAGTTAACTCATTAAGAAATACATTCAAAGTGCATGCACTTCTATGAGGATCATGTGATTGATTTTCTGACTTAAAACCTATCACTATTATTTTATGATAGTGATAGTTGATTTATAGTATTCAGGACTGAAGTAAGAATGAAGTCTCAGGTTATAAAATGTTATATGGTGCGACAAAAAAAAAAAGTAATAATATTTATGAATTAATAATGAACAGTATATGAAAAAATAGTTTTAAAGGTGACATTGTTAAATTGCTGATCGACTTCTCATATTTAGTGTTTGGCAGGAGAGTGTAGTAGAATTCCATCTAAGAGATGAGACTAGAATATTAACAACACAATGAATAATTGTTCCATTTATTCATTCAATCTCACTGGATTATTACAATTACCATGTATGGAAATGTAAACTGATATTTCCTATATTGCAGTTTTTACAATTTCATTAATTTAGAAAAGTGAATATAATGAAAAAAAATCTCATTACTGCAGGAGCATTTAAAATTAATTAGTGAAGTGAAAACCTGGTCAATAAAATATAAAATATTTTTTTGTGTATTTGGTGTAACAGAACATGTTGACATGCTTTAATGTTCAAAAAACACATTATTTTTCAAATACTGTTCATTATTGTAGGTCCTCTATGCCCCGCCTCTCTCAAACGCTTCGTTTTCTACAAAGTCCCTCCTTCCGACAAGCGCAGTCTGCTCTGATTGGCCAGCTGACCCAGTGCATTGTGATTGGCCGAACACCGCAAGCACTCATCGGAAATGTAACTCCCCTTACCATAATCGCGAGCTTCATCTTTCAAAATAAATGTAAAGACAGAGCCCGAAAGTGGAACAGAGTCGTGTGACAGACACAGTGATGAAGCTACCCCTTTAAAATAAAAAGGTACACTTTTTTTTTTGCATTGTGTCAGAATCATTTTTGTAATGTGTGTTTGTTTTACTTGTGTTTGCAATACATTAATGAAAATCATCCTGTCCTGACATGATAATTTTTAAAAAATGTAATTAAAATTTTTTTAATGTATTATTAAAATTAATTGTATTTTTAAAAAAAAATATTAATTTTTTTATATTTATTTTAACATGACTTAAATATAGTACAACAAATACTTGTCTGGTGTAATTAATGTTTTTTTTTTTTTTTTCTTACAATGCTGTCACAATGCAAAAAAAAGAAAATCACAATGTTCCAGAAATAAGCTTATTTTTCTTTTATTCTTGTTTTATTTAGATTTTTGAGGTGAAATGACTTGGACATGTCCTTCTCAGGCTTTCTGAAACAGGGCTGCTTCCATGTTATGGCCAGTAGATAGAGCTGTGAGTGTTTTCAATGTTTTCCAGCTGGTGCAGATGGTGAAATAAATCTAGATAAACAACCTTACATCTCCACTTTGTTTCAAGATGGCTTTAAGAACATCTCAACCAGAGTAATTAAGATATAAAACATGTGAAAAATGTCTTTCAATTTAAAAAAAACTGCAGCTCTCTATTCTTTAACCTCAGGTGTATTTCACTGCTTTCAGATACATTGCTTCAATTCGGCTTCCAAGCTGTTTGTGTTCAGCCAATCTGTCCGTCTCTATTGGGCTGTGCTGTTATTGTTACTGATCTGAAATAACGTACTTTGAAGCCGTAGAGGTGAGACTGATGAGCAAAGACATCCACCTCAAGGCTGTCTGAGCATTATCAATTATGAGAGATGCCCAAACTTGAGGTGTGTTTTTGAAGACTTGCAGTTTGAGGCTTCCTGCTGTATTTTACTGACGTAAAAGCTGGTTTTGAACTGAAGGTTGAAGGAGAAGACCAGCGATGTCTCGCAGTTATGTTTGTTTGATGGCATTAGTTAAGGTAAACCAGGCCCATGGGCTGCAATATATGAAAGGAGGCAGGAGAGAGCCGTGCAGCCATCAAACCAGGATGAATAATTCAGCGTCTGTCTCTGAGTTTTGAAAGGAGAAGCATCTATTATTCTGTATCTGTATCGCTCGACAGAATAACCTCTCAGCCATCACCATAATCAACATTCCCTGACCCTCACATGCTGCTGAGAGGTCTGGACTTCAGAAATCACACACAGACGTGTGAGTTCACTGCCCTCCGTTTCACCTATATAGTGAGCTATAGTGATCTAGATGGCATTTCAGGGCCCAGAAATGCATAAAATGCTTCTGAACTTGCCCATGATGACAGAATATGCTCAAGTCTGCAATAAATGTCACTTTTCTCGGGAACCTTTATCAGTGTAGAGCAGGGAGGTCTATAATGGGTTAATAATGCTAATTTTTTGTCTAATCTATTTATTATATATTTAAAAATACTTTTAAATGCAATTCATGCACACAGAATACACATGAATACACTTTTTGTGTGATGAGCGTGTTTTTATTTCTGATTTAAAGTTCACTTTTCTATATTTTTAAGGGATTTAAATTAAAAAAAGGTAACTTTCCTGGGAAAAAAAAAACTCTTATTAAAAGAGATTTAATACGTTTTTCTTCAAGAATTTAAGTAGTTTGACAATCTTTTGTTATGTCTAGTCATGCCTACTGAACTAGCAAATTATTTGAGATTTTGATGACACAGCAAGGTTATTTTAGGGTGTAAAATGTTGTTCAGTGATATTAATGTTATCTAAAACTGAGACTAAAAATAGTTTGCATTAATTTAAATAAAGATAAAATATAAATATCAGATGAACAACGAAAATTGTTGCCTTGGCAAACAACTGAAATAAAATAAGTTGACGTACTAAAAACTAAAAAAATAAAAATAGATTGACTAAAATGTCTTTTAAACTATCAAATAATTTTTATGATTATGAATTTCTAATTGATTTTTATGACACAGCATGGCTAGTTTAGGTTGTAAAATATCATTCAGGTGATGTTACTATTTACTAAAACTAAAAAATAGTTTTCATTAATTTAAATAAAGCTGAACTAAAATTTTTATATAAATATCAGATGAAAAAAGAAAATTGTTGCCTTGAAAAATACTAAAATTAAAATAAAAAGAAATTAAAGCTAAAGATATAAAAAAATTTGTCATCTCACAATGCTTTTTAGTAATTTTGTAATGACCATTATATCCAGGGATGCACATAAGTGGTGCGCATGTGCGACCAAATAAAAAATGCACTGGGTAAATAAGTTCTGATCACTGGTTTGCTTACTGACATGGTTGGCAGCTGTTAATGCACAATCACTGTTTAGATCGACTAGATTTCCATTAGAACCGAAAGCATAAAACTAGATAAAAATTAAAAGCTAGAAAAATTAAAATAAAAGCTTAAATAAAACCGTATAAAATACGGTAATATAAAATAAAAAATATTTTGTGAATCCAGAAGTTTCAAGAACTTTAGACTGCCATGATAACTCGCATGAAAACGGCAGAAGTGAACAGTGGACAGAAGGCGAGACATGAGCGCTCAATCAGAACCGTGAAACTCAATTAATGCCAATGTAAAATTGAGTACAAATCAGGATTCATCCTCACTCTGTCAGACATAAAAACACAGATGTGCATCACAGATGTTGTTCAAGACGGGTCGGCCCCTGAGCTCACCCAGCGGTGCTCACAGTATGGAGTTCAATTCGGTCTCATCTCACTTTATCTGTCCTTGTGTTTCCATCTGGCTCTCCTTCTCTTCTCTGCATCTCTCTCATTCCATCCTCTTTTTCTTTAAGCTGATCGTTTAGCCGGATGCATGCAGCTTTATTTTCAACAGTCATTAGCAGTGTGACTCTAAACTGTAATTTCTAACAGGTTCAGTGTACTGAAGAAAATGTTTGGAAACCAGTTGCCTTATTTTTAAGCAAACTTAAGGAGAAAATTTAAGTAATCCACTTAAAAAGAAGAAAACGGACTCCTCCTGAATAAATTAAGTAATAAATATCAAGTTTAACATGTACATTTCAGTTCAATATATTCTAGAATGTTTACTAATATTAATATTTGATAGTAAGATTACTGTGTTAATGATTTAACTTTGTTACATTTTGTATTGCAAACATCCATAATGCTGTTATTCTCAACATGGACTTAGTCTTCCATTTTAAGCAATGTAGACGTAAAAATATGTGCAATCGATTTCCAACATTTCTTCAAGTAAACTGAACATGTTTTGGCACAATAAAGGGATATGGCAAATGAAGTGAAATCAAAGATGAAAATAAACATGCGATCATTTCGATTGCATGTTTGAATAAATTATTTCCATGTATTATGTACATAATATTGGATTATTAGACACTTAAAATAATCAATATTGAGAAGAAAAAAAGAAGCAAAAATCAGTATTAAAATCAGCACTGATCTCTAATTAACATGCTGGCTGATTAAACATATATGACGTATATGAGTTGTTAAAGAGAGACATTTGCAAGTTTTCCTAAATGAATAAATGATACTTTTAATTTTAATTAAAAACATAAAAGTTATAAACCTTAAAATGTCACCCAAATGTTATTGCTTATGCGTTTTAGTTGCAGCATGAATAATGAATTTCATTAAAACATTATTTGCAAGAATAGTGCTTGTCAGGAGCAGAGAGCAAGAGATGTATATGAGACACAAGAAGTTATATATCATTATGTACATCATCCAAGAAAAACTAAAGAAATGAACAATGACCAATAAACATCAGTGTCGTCAATATTTCATACTGATTTGATGATATTTTTGCTGCTTTTTTCTTCTCAATGTGGACTATTTTCATGTGTCTAATAATCCAATATATGGAACTAATTTTGAATTGTTACATAATACAAAATATGATTTGTGAATAATTTATTAAAAATAATCATTGCTGTTATGCCATTAACTTTCATTGCATTTTACAGTAAATCATTCACATTTCTTCTTAATGACTAGTTAGAAATTTTTCCAGATGTAAAAAAACCCCAGTATATATATATATATATATATGTATGTGTGTGTGTGTGTATATTGAATCTCTGATTGAATCTTCTTTTAAACTTGTTCTTTCAAGGTCACGGCACAAGCTTGCCATTGATTCTTGTATAGAGAGTAATTGAATATCAATCTTAATATTTCACATACACCCACTGTATTATATTTTAATATTTCACATTTCATCAATTTTTTATTAATTCATCATCACACAAATAATATGTGGTAGAATTGATGGCACTCATGATTAATTATTGTTGTCCTGAGCGTAACGTTTATAATAAGAATTTCATAACAGCGAGGTAATGAAAAATTGTGTATTGTGTTTCAGCGTTGTTCAGTTGGATTCATCCCGCATACCAGAACCGCTTCACATTCTTTCTCGCCACTCCCTCCCCATCACCGACATCCACTGTGGCCTGATGGGACCACAAGCCCGTGTTGCCACCGCATCCCTGGACCAAACCGTTAAGGTGAGTTTTGCTCAATCTCTCCTGATGTGGCCGTAAAGGATGTAAATGATGTACATTACAAAATCTGAAATGTATATTTAGATTATAGCAATTATAGGCTTGCATTCAATTTCAGTGTAAATGCATTTTTATAAACTTAATGACCATGGTGTGTATTGAATCTCTGATTGAATCTTCTTTTAAACTTGTTCTTTCAAGGTCACGGCACAAGCTTGCCATTGATTCTTGTATAGAGAGTAATTGAATATCAATCTTAATATTTCACGTACACCCACTGTATTATATTTTAATATTTCACATTTCATAAATTTTTAATTAATTCATCATCACACAAATAATATGTGGTAGAATTGATGGCACTCATGATTAATTATTGTTGTCCTGAGCGTAATGTATATAATAAGAATTTCATAACAGCGAGGTAATGAAAAATTGTGTATTGTGTTTCAGCGTTGTTCAGTTGGATTCATCCCGCATACCAGAACCGCTTCACATTCTTTCTCGCCACTCCCTCCCCATCACCGACATCCACTGTGGCCTGATGGGACCACAAGCCCGTGTTGCCACCGCATCCCTGGACCAAACCGTTAAGGTGAGTTTTGCTCAATCTCTCCTGATGTGGCCGTAAAGGATGTAAATGATGTACATTACAAAATCTGAAATGTATATTTAGATTATAGCAATTATAGGCTTGCATTCAATTTCAGTGTAAATGCATTTTTATAAACTTAATGACCATGTGAACATGATTGATTGTGTTTGCTTTCAATTAAATTAAAATCTTTATAATAATAAGATTAATAGAAAATTGATTTTTTGCTGCTTGTTCAGTTTAGTTCATTAAAAGAGCTACTGCAACACAATTTGTGAACATTTTGTGCAATCTGTTCTATTTTTTTCAAGTGGAGGTTTCTGTAATGCGTTTGTGGTGGGACTATATGTATAATTTTTGTTGTCAGTTCTTTGACAATATATTTTTGAGTTCATTATATAAAAAGAACATAACGTTATATAATTACATAAAATCTAATAAATAATACAAAATAAAATAAATATAAAACTATAACAGCCATTGTTTGAAATGCATTAAAAATATGTAAAAGAAAAATAAATTAGTAATATAATATACAAATATTTCCAATTCTTGTTAAAATAGAATGACTTTGTCAAAGAGACATTGAATGATGGTGCAGACTGTTCAAACAAATAATATTTTGCCCAGAAAGCCTTAATTTAATTACGTAGCAAAGTAAATGCAATTCATTGTTTTTTATTTTTGTGTAGTGTATGAATCGATCATAGATCAATAAATAAATAAAATATATGAAGCTCTGTGCATCTTAATATAGTTAAAGATGTTTAATACCTCTGTTTGTGTCCATTTGTTGTTCCAAATAACATTTACTGTAAATGCCAGACCACTTTAAAATGCATCTCCACATCCTTATGGTCCGCATGTGCCACCTACACACATCTTTGTGTTTTTCTAATGCTTTAAATGGGATGCCCATTTTATCTTGCATAGAAGACTTATTTAATATGCTGATGTCTTCATTGGTTCCGTTCAGCTTTTGAAAAATCACTTGAAAAACATACATATTTATGAATTCATATTTCTCTGTGGTACGCACCTAAAGCTGTCTCACTTGTAATCCAGTTTGTAGCTTATTTAACTTGCTAAACTCTCATAATGGCATCAAGAAATCGGGTCATGAATGGGGTACTTGGCTTGAGATGATGTGCTGTCTTTTCTTTTTTGCTTTATGTGGGAAGATGCTCTTAAATTAATGTTTGCTGTGATGAAACCTTGGATTGTCATTCAGGGGAAGTTTGCATCCCATTTGCACTTGTTCTTTGTTGACGTGCACTTTTTATAGACCTTATTAGGCATTTACAAGCCTCCTGTCTTCCAGCTAAAACACTTAAAACGAGGCAATTTTGTTTTAAACACAATAATGTATGGACAATAACGCCTCTCCTTCCTCAAGTCCGAAACTTTGCTGAAATGTGATTTTCCTGCTAATGAATGTGACATAGGGGCAGTAAGTGTCTGGCTGTGATGTAAACTGCATAAGCAGCGGATGACAGTCCCTATGCTGCTGTTTCTCCTGTGGCTTCAGGCGACATGGTTTATTTGATTGAGAAGATTGTGTGACGATCAATGCCAGAGAGAATGATGTCCAGTGTGATGGACTGTATGGTCTGAATCGAGATTCATACAATATTTGACACACCTGATTGTTCACACGAGTTTGAAAACATACTAGGGTCGACTGATGGATAGTGCTGATTAGGTAGTAAATAAAAAAAGGTTCATTTAAAGGGTTAGTTCAGCCAAAAATTAAAATTCTGTCATCATTTACTCACCCTCAAATTGTTCCAAACCTGCATAAGTTTCTGGTCCCCATTGACTTATTTTTTCCCATGAAGGCAGTGGGGACTTTTGGCTACCGGCAATCTTCAACGTATTTTGTTTTTTGTTCAACAGAAGAAAGAAACTCGTGCAGGTTTGAAACAACTTGAGTGTGAGAAAATTATGTATATATATTTTTGGGTGAACTGTGCCTTTAAGACATGATATCATTGCAGCAGATGAGTAAATAATTAAATAGACATTACACAAACTACCTTTCTAAAATATTTGTTACATTTCATTAGACTTAATCTGTTGGCTAAAGTCCACAGTAATTTATTTTGCAGTCCTAAGTAGATGGGAACATTGTCACATTCTGTGTACGTGTTTGTTTTTTTGGGTTGCTGGTTAATTAGTGCCTCGCACATGAATAACTTATTCTTTCATTATCATCATTATAAATATTATCATATTTATTATGTTGAAAATAGTTGTTTTGCTTAACATTATTGTGTAAACCATGCATTTTTTTTGTGTGTTTGTGAAATTAGAATCATCTTTACTGTCACTTTCAATCAAATGATTATGTCCTTGGTGAATAAAAGTATGAATTTTTTTTGCAAAAAAATGTTACAGACCCCAAACTCGCGAAAGAATATGTATGTCTGTGTGTATTTATGTATATATACACTTGTTATGACGCCCGACACAGCTGCACCACCACAGCTCCCTATCAGACCCAAACAATTAATTTAAACAACAACGCGAGGTTACTATAACGATAGAGCACCTATTTTACGGGGTGCCCGGAGTCTCATCTTCCCCTTTCACAACAAAAACATCAAAACCAAGAAGTATCAAAAACGACAATTTATTTATTAGGAGACAACAACATAAACTTCAGGATAGGGAAGAGCCAAAATAATAAACAAAATTAGCAAACTAACTGTCGTTTAAACCTCTTTCCTGCATGAGATAAACAACAAAGAAAACACATTATCTTACCTCCCAACTAACCTCAAAACAAGAGAAAACTGAAGGAAAACAAAAGGCACCCTCGTACATTAAACAGGTAGTTTAACGGTCATGTACACAATTACAACAAGCAAGCTTTGATGTAACATCGGAGGTACAACATAGTTTGACAACATAAATTCAAAGTAAACAACTGAGCAGGGAGAGAGGAGACTCCCCGAGTGATCTTCCAGACGACTTTACATCAGCTCTACAGAACCTCTGACGCCACCGTAACAACATGCACCTGTGCGCACTAACAAGTGCTGTTAAAGGGGTCATCGGATGCAAAATTCACTTTTGTTGTTGTTTGAACATAAATGTGTGTTGGAAGTGTGTGTACACATCCACCCTATAATGATAAAAATCCACCCAGTGTTTTTAATTTTTTTATCCCTATTTTAAAATCCCCTTTATCAAACCAGGCTGTTCTGAGATTCCTGTCAGAATGATGTAGTTCTGCACAGGCCCCTCCCACGATAGTTGATTGACAAGGCCGTCTTACCTTAGACCCGCCCTGAGTAAGCTGTGAGCTGTCCGCCATTGTGTCGACTCCGGTGCAGGGGAAGACAAGAATGTCTCCGATTAAGCGATTTGAGATGTTTTGTTGTTGGATGTAATAATGAACACAGCAGTCGTCATTTACTCCCGACATCTGAGCCGCTGAAGATGCAGAGGATTAATGTTACGTTCATTTTTGAAGGGAATGCGCCGATCCCCGATCGACCTAAATGCGTTTAAGTTCGCGCGAATCATTCATGATCCAGCTTCATCTACAGAGAAGTATAAGGGTTTTTTATGAATCTTTACAAATCGCCTTTCCTAATAATGTGCTAGTTAGCCAGTTTCGCGGCTAAAGTTTACAGTCTGCTCGTCATCCCACAGAAGAGAGGGGCGGGGTCAGCAGAGCTCATTAGCATTTAAAGCAACATGGACTAAAACAACGTGCTGAAAACAGAGCTGATTTTGACAGGGTCTAAAGGATGTTTTTTACGCTACCATTGAGAAATTTTAACCAAAGTATGTTATAGACTTTTCATTAAGACCTAAAGAATCATGTCAACTTGTGGAAAATGGGCATCCAATGACCCCTTTAAGAGAAACAGAAGGGAGAAGGGAAACAACAAAAAACACGTGTACAATGACAGCGTAAAAAACTACTTTTTCATTCAATAAGATGCATAACGTAACAACAATCTATGTAGTATTTAAGTAACATAAAATATTTAGTTTATTTATCAAATTTATTGTGTACAATTTTTAATCAATCACTGATTAATCTTTCCTTTTTAGTTATTTATGGTTTATGGAAGCCTCCCAATGCTTCTTATTTTCAAATCCAGAGTATAAACTGCACTTTTTAGATCAAACTCCAAGAAGAGAAACTCCAGACCAGAAGCATCAAAATATCAAAGGAAGCATCAGCAGCAGAGCGTCCCGCCATAGTTCATCCAGAGATCACCCCGTGGACTCCCTTTGAGTGTTTCCTGTGTGATCATTGAACCTCAGCGATGAATAATTTCCAGTCCTTTATATTGATACCCTGTGAAGAAGTGGAGGACTTATTTGATCTTTCATGGATCTTTAAGCCCGAGTAACACTTCAGCTCTTGCCGCTGATCTACTCGTCACGT